ACGCTGATATGTTAGGATTTTAGAAAAGGAATGATACCTTAGTAAAAGAAAAGGCTACTAGAGGTGAAGTTACTTGGTTTGTCACATATCATCTTTCTTCCTTTTTCCTGTTTTCTTCTCATTCATCTGCCTTTTTCTTTCTTTCTCTTTTTTTCCTCCCTTGGGGAAGGATGGAGTAGGTCTGTGTCTTCAGAGATGTTGATTATAAATGCCTCCCAATTTGTTCTCAAAAGCGTGTGATATTTCCTCACATATTTTTTCGTCTTTATTTTGACCAAACCATGGAGCCTGAATTCTGATTCAGTTCTCTGTGTGTTTTTCTTTTTGTTTCCCTGACCTGAGGATTGAGGGACCTCTTTTCATGTTGGCTAATGAAAATAATTTCATGAACATCCATTACAGTTTATAGAAACCTTCTCTAACTTAGGAAATATTTTAAGTTTGATGAACATCGTGGACCTTGGAGGACTGAGAGGTATTGAAGCAGGGAGACGTTCACAGTAAGACTAGGCAACTTCTTTTATCCCGTGTTGTAATAACTTTGGAAAGCTCTGGAGGGGTTGGCTGCCCTCGGTGTCTGCTCTTGACTGACAGTCAGGTTTCTTGCTAGGTTTTGGCAGTGAGATCTGCTGAAGAGGCCAGCTAGTGTCTACAGTATGTAGCTAATTGTTGTTTTACCATCCATTACAGTGACCACAACACCATGCAAGCTAACTTCTCAGTTGCAGAATTTGCAGTTATTTGAGTGAATCTCGTATTTCAATGTTCTGTTAATGCTCTACAAATAGTCTCTCCATAGATGTATGTCCCTTATACTCTCCTTCATTTGTCAATATTAATCTGTACTTATCATTTAATAACTTTAATATCTAAATCCCTCTGTCTCTAGTTATATTGGTTCTTCATCTAAATCAACTGTGAACTTGCAAATGTGTAGGACTTTTACCTGTATCCCTGCACTTAAGGATGTGTCATCACTTTCTTTACTAACTTCCTGCTGTCAGGGTGTAAGCGTTTGGCTCAACCCTGAATTCTTCTGACTCCTACAACACTCTCCAACATTGTAAATCTGCTTGCTGTCACCTCTGAGCAGTAGAATGTTTAACGCTTTCTGGCATATTTTTCTAGAAACTCCAAATCATGATTTATCTCTCCTAGTCCCCTAAAATCTAAACTTTTAACCCATCCAAAATGAGACAGCTGAACTTTGAAAATGCAGCCTTCCTTTTTTTCACTCCACCTTGTGTATGATTAGTGAGTTTCTGGCTGTGTCAGCGTAGTTCCCTTCCAAAAACCTTCTGTAAGGTTTTGTTACATCTTCTCAACACAAAACGTCTGTGAATGGAGAGAGAAGTGCATTCCCAACACGGTATTCCTCACCAGGCAAGGACGAGCATCTCGGAGTGGAAATATTCTGAGTCCTTCTCTCACAACAAATGGTTGCCGAGTTTCTTTTTCTCATTCCTTTTCCGAGTGTTCATTAGACTGATTTCTTCCCACCTCTGATTGGATTGTATACACTGTACATAGGACAAGATCAGGAAAATCCTACCTCCTGGCATCTTCTCCATGATTTGATTGTCTTTAGGCTATTTTTTGGGTTTTTTTTGCCATTTCAAAATTTCTGTTGCCTCTTATGAAATATATACATATAGAATATATATATCTTTCAGTACACTTTAAGAGGAAAAGTTCTATATAAACAGTGTCAGATTTTGTGTGTGCATGTGTGTGTGAAAAAAAGAGTTGTTAATCTGAGTCTTGAAATTTCTTGCCCTGTGTCAGTGCATAGATGATAATATTGGTAATATAAAAGCTGCTTCTTATACTTCAGCTGTAGTTTTAGAACATAATTTTCTGTCACTTTAGGAGTTTCTGTTAGAAAAGGTGGCATCACAAACTCATTCATAGGATTTGAGACTTCAATATAATAAATGTTTTCAGAATGCCCCAAAAGGAATGGATAAACCCCAAATAATGCACGTTGTTAAGATTCTATAGAAATAGCACAGTTACTGGCAACATGCAGCACCCCTCAGTTTGTGCATAGGTCTTAATTCATGCAGCTTCACTACAATATATCTTTCTCACATAACTGTTGTAGCATAGTCAGTGTTTTGCATTATAACTAGTCTATACTCTATACTGTACTGTTGTGCTAAAAGCATGAATCTAGCACAGAAATGAAGGTTTGAATATCAGAGTCCTGGGGAACTTTGAGATGTGGTAGCAAGCAGAGAGCAATGGGATCAAGTTAGTGCTTAGCTGTGTTGTGGGTGGATGCCACTTTTTGTCCTGTCCTGGACACTTTCATTAGCAAAGCAAGCGAAGACGCATGTTTTAATATCATTTATATGCCCGAACTTTTTTTTTGTTTTTTAACACTTTTGTTTAGCCATCTTGACCTACCCACTGAAAACCAAGTTTTTGGCATCGAAATTTGAAATTTCCAAGCGTAGAACAAGGATGGAGAAAGGATGTGTTGATAAAGGTGTCAATTTATGTTTGCAAACTTATTGTGAGATTATGTTACCTCCGTTACGTCTCTTTGTTCAACTTATGTTGTTATTTGAGCCCCAAAAAGGCCAAAGATCATCAAGTAAAGTGCATGTAGAGTAAAGCTGCTCCTGTAAAATTGATGATCCGTCCAATTATTTATCTGTAGAGGCTGCTGGGAAGAAATGCAACTATCTCAGTTCTCAGACCCCTCTGCTAGTTTGAACTTCATGGCTGAAGGTTTAATCCCTAAGTGTCATATCAACAATTCATTCTGTGATATTCTGGCTGACATGTTCTCCTTCCTTATTTATTGATGTCTTCAGTCATCGACAATGAGAGGAAAATACACTATTCGTCAAAGTGATGGTGTTTTACCCTCACTTACAGTTGATGCTGCTGTCACGTTGATGGTTGGAAAATAAACTCAATCATTATAAAAAGCTAAGAGTGTGAACTTGCCAGTGACAGGAAGAAGATGAAAAAAAAAAAAAAAGCTCTACAGTAACTTGCTTAAAATTGGTGGAATAAAAATAGAACTGTTTCCTATAAAGATATTTTAGGCTTTGTTTGTGAAATACCAGCCATTTCAGCAATTTACTTTACATTTCTTCCTTTGAAAGCAAATCAACTCTTGGTACTCCTTTACATCTGTACACAAGTGTGTATAATTTTTAGAAATAAATATTGGTCATTATTCCACCTCATGCTACTTGGTTAGTAATTTGCTGTGTTTTTCCCTCTATTTTAAGGGGGCTGGGGTTGTTTTTATTTCTCCCTAAATTACACTGAATGCATATATCTCTTTGTGTATTCCAGTATTTTAAGTGGTTTGATGAAAAAGAAGCTTAGTGTAGTTTCAGCCAATAAGCCCCTTGACATGCAAGCATACACAAGGCTCTGTCTCGATTCACTTTTAGTCTACCATTTGCACTGCACCTCACAGATATTTTAACTCCGAAACCACATATCTTACCACATTTCACCTTTGGGAGGCATTGTATATACAGCTAAAAGTAAAGAGCAGCAAGCCAAGAGGGACAAGATAGCATAATGAGGATGTCAATTTGTGGTCAGATATCTGAGGAAATATTTATCTTACTTGTACTGTACTTGGCAACAAATAGAGAAATTTATATGTAATGCATTTCCTTAGACATTATACATCCTGGCAGAATGTATACCTTGTGTTATATGAATTTAGCAAAAAATTGGCTTGTCTCAGATTTTAAAAGTTTGATGTGATTCTAATTTGGATTATATCCTAACATTGAACCACTTAAATAAAAGCCTGAAATACTCGTGTTTGCAGTAGTGGTATATTGGCAGTATTTTTTACTTAATTGTTTGCCTAAGCTCTTTAAATAATCACATTTTCAAGATCCAGCTCGCTCACCAGAATGAGAGCAAGGCAAGAGTTCCGTTGTTTGTGGGGAAAAAGAAAAGAAAGAAAAAAAAGGCCCTTTCCTTATAGGATGCTGTTTTGGTGCATGTGTCTGGCCGTGTCGGCTCACCGTGCACGGGGACACGTGCCTGTCTCGCACGGGCTCCGTGTCCTGAGGCGAGTCGCAGATTTTACCCATCTGCAAAATGGGAATGTTATAACTTATTTTTCTCCCTCAGGGAGGATTACTTAATGTTTCTATAGAGCTTTGAAGATGAAAATCTTTATGTTTGCTGCTATTATTTCAGTCTAAGAGAAGCATCTAACTAAAGCTATGTAAAGAGGAAAGTTTTGGCATCTTGTGTTGTCTTTGTACCATGTCTTGAGGCCTGGATTCCTCTCACTGCTAGAATTTTGCAACCTTTGGTTCAGCATAAGCTATAGAAGCAAACAGGCAGTATACAAACAAGCGCTGATGCCAATAGACAAATGCATATAATGCTAATAAAAATGTCAGGAGATCCATTGCAGCTTGCCAGAAATAGGCTATGGTAGGAGCAAGGCAACAGTAACTGCCTTAGCTTGAGATGGCTGGGTGTTTTAAAACATCAATGGTTAAAGCTGAGAAGGACGGACAAATATTTTCCTCTGATAGAGCTTTTCAGTATCTTTAGAAGCATAAGTGTCAGTTAAGTATAATATGCTATAGATACGAGTGTTTTAGTGAAGGCTTCTTGACTCCCTTTCTGAGGCAAGGAATAGGCTTAAGAAAACGTGTGGCAAGTATGAACACCCAGCACTTAGAGCAAGTTTGAAAGACTTCTGACCTTTGTTTTGTAGACCAAAATTTAGCATCAGTTCCCAGGGTCCAGGAAACCTCAGTGGGTTGCACAGGGACAGCTTCTGGTTTTAATGATACTTCTTCAATTTTATGTTGCTTGGCAGACTTAAAATTTACTATAATGATGTCTTCTTCCTTGCAGTTAGGAGGAGTGATTAGACTATCATATGTATTATGTGCAGTTGTTCTTTAGCTTTGTTACAATCTAAACTGGCATTTTGAGGCCTTACAGTCGCAAACTATATTTTTCATGATTTAAATTTTGATTTTTTAATGCAGAACAGATTGGACAGGAGATGCTGGAAAACCTCAGCCATGACAGAGAGAAGATCCAGCGTGCTCGGGAAAGGGTAAGTTTGATAGTAAATAATTGCTGGTCTAGGATTTTATTTGCTTTGGGCAAATTCACTGTGCATGCAAAAATTAGCCAGCATATTGATTAGATTTTTAAATAAATCAACTGTTAGCATCACCACCATCTGTAGTGATGTAGTTAAAGTGTTTCATATGGGCCCAGTCCTACAGAGCTTCTCTCATAGGCCGTCAAGAACAAGAAACCCACTGCTGGAAACAAGCTCTCTGTCCCCAGTGTCACAGTCAAATCTGCTTTCTGTCCTTTGAAGGATTTTCTACAGTGTCTGTTGCAAGGACTTCTTGGACTTTCCATAAAACAAAGTTCAGTGTTGCAATTTAACTTTTAATAATTGATCAACCCCACTCTTTGTAGCTGCAAAGAAAATTAACTGCTAATAATTGCCTCCTTAGGATATTTATGCAAGAGTTTGGTATGAGAAAAATGCAGGAAGAAAAAAATTAGTATCAAGTGATAGCTTCAGTCTTGCTGTTTTAAAAGGCAGTGCTAAACTCCCACTAGTTTAACAGAAGGAAGTTTGGGGCTGAAATTATAAAAATATGCATGTTAAACCAATTTATAATTTGTGGCTTTAAAAATGAGTGCATTACCTGAGTCAGGAGAAACCTGGGTCACTGTGAGGGCAGGTCAGCTAATGGCATTTCAGAACATTGGAGGAGGACGTGTGTGACACCATCTCTTCCAGTCAGTGCAGAACAAAGATTCTTGTCCCTAGGACAAGTCTACAACATTGGGAAGCAGTATTAATCCTGTGCATGGAAATACAGTTTTCTCTACCACCAGGCTGTTAAGTTGCCGCTTTTTTTCAGTTTCATCACTTCTTAAATAAAGTGGTTATCCCGTCCCCTTGAAAATGGCTTTGAGATCTACTTGTGAAGAATCTTTATTTTCATTTTCTAAAAAAAGATGAGAGATTCATTATTAGGAAAAAAATACTTAACTTTCTAGTCATTGTCATGTTTTGCATGTTGGATAGTGACTTTCTCTGCAGAAAGAAAGAAATTCAAAGACCTTTTTGACTGCAGAAGTGTGTAAGGCTGGTAGCTGTCTAGTGTCCAACACTTTGAAGTGCAGGGTTTCTTGTTATTGTTTTTGTCTCTCTGAAGGTTGTTTTGATGACAGAAGGGAAGAAGAGTAGGAAGGGAGTTGTGGTTAAACATCTTGAGGATCTTGAGGGAGAAAAAGGGAGCTAGAGCACATAGTGAGATTTGTTTCACAGGCAGGAGTCTCTAGCAACAATCCTGAGGGTAAGATCTGCTTGGGGAGCCTCCTACCAAGCAATCGTCCACAGTTGACCACAGGGAGCAGAGGTTTCAAGACAGTGGGCACAGAACACATCTCTGTGCTGAAACCTTTGGGGAGTTTGAGCCTCCAAATCTCCCACCATACCGGGGGAGAAGTTCTTTATTTGCATTCCCTCCGCTGGAGTGAGAAAGAGCTTTTTGTTTTATGGGTGAATATTTATTTCTGTGTGAAATAACAAGTGATAGCTTCTTACACTGCTGCTCCATGAAAGCAGATAAGTTATCTATGTAATTTTTGTCTTATGTTGCCTCCATGGAGGTCTTCTCTACTCGCCAGAACTTAATCAAGATGCCCGGTAGCCCGTCCCATCCCGCACATAGAACTTGTCTGCACTTTGGCCTGGGGGATTTGCCTCTTCTCTTCAGAGTTCTGCTCACAGTATTTCTGCAAGATCTCACCAAAACTAACTCATCCAGAACCAGGATTGACTCTATTTGTGATATTTTGTCCAGAGTACACTGAACAGATACTTTCCTTAGTGTCCAATTTTGCTAAATCATCTTTCAGGCTTATAGCTGACCACTGCCACTTAAGACTCCTGTTTCTCTCTCAGGGATTTTTTTGGTCTGGATGTCTTTGACTAGTAAAGCTTCATATGACAGCTTTAACGAGGTATTTTCTGTCAGAAATTCTGATCTATACCAGTTGCTTTCTCACATTGTGGGCATGAGCTACTTTAAATCATTAAATATAGCTAAATCATTAAATATAGCCAAGGGATGTGAGCAAGCATTATTCGGGAAACTTTACAGACTTCTCATTTCTCCTCCCCTCATCACATCCCCAGTGACTGCTAAGTCTGAGATGCTTTTCTGTTTCTATTCGGACAAGTAAACCCTAGGCAATGGAGGTGAATAACATGTATCCCTTTCTGCCAAAATCCTCAGAAAACGTAGAGAAAGAGGAGTACAGTTCTGATGCCTCTACAGTTCTTAGTATAACCTTTCCTTTGCAGTGCCTTCTGCCTGAACAGTCATTGCTTTCAATGGCAAGACCTGTAAGGTACGTGAAGCAAGATTAAAAAAAATAAGTGTATATGCATTGCAATTCATCAAAAGACCTTGTCATGAATGGAAAGTCTCAAATTCCAGGTTTCTACTTTGGGCCACTTAAGATTTTATGTTTGGAGGATTTGGGAAGGATCTCCATTGGAGCCACATGGGCAGACCTGTCCAGAATGCTCACATGTGCAGTCAGAGGTGATTTTGATTAACCTTTTTTTAAAAAAAAGCCCAGGAGTGAGGGTGTTTCATCAGTGCGTAATGTCTTTACACTTAATATATGGAAGCATTATGTTACCAGCCAGAGGAACAAACTTTTAGAAGTTCTATCTTGTGAAAATTAGAGCTATTTTCCTGTGAGGAAAATTTAATTAGGTTAGGTGTCTGTGTAGTTTTGTTCAAGTTCTCCTGTCTGCATTGTGAAGCAAGACATAACCAGTCATATTTGAAATGAATGAAGATGTGTTATGCCATTTACATAGGTACTAATATCCATGAACAGGAATTTTCTAACTGTAAAAAAAAAAAAAGTCAAATAGAGGGGGTAGAAGCTCTGCTGCAGGCATTATATAAGTTAAATGGATTATACAGGATTCTAAAAGGCAACATTTTGGGGTAAAACCTTAAATTTAACTATGAAGCAGACAAGATATCAGCATCACCTTCTTTTCCATCTACCTTTTTTTCCTCAATATTATTTTTTTAAAAGAGCTTTTCTTACAAACTATGTAGATTTGGTTTTGCTAGTGTCAAAGCATCTTCCAAAAAGTTTTTCCTGCAGCATTTCTGTGAAACAAGGAAGTGCCCCAAGGAATCTACCATTTAACAGGCTAACATGCCACCAACTCTTTGGCTTACTATTGCAGAGCAGTGGTAGAGCAGCGGTATCGATAAAGAAATGATAGAAGAGCCACCATTTTGTTTTTTTAAAAAAAAACAAACTTGTGATTTAAATTGGTTTTCTGTCAGTGCAGGAAGAAAAGGTTGGGGATTTTTTTGCACTCTCCTGAGTTGTAGCAGGAGATTTTTCAAGTTTGTGTGTATGTATTTGTTTTTTTTTTCTTTTCTTTTCCCCTTTTTTCTTAACCATAGAAATATCAGGTCTTCTTGCTTAGAGGACTTTGTGAAACCTCTAAGATTCAAATTCCCCTTCCTGGCTATCAGTACTGATTCTAGCTGTCAGGTAGATTCCTGCAGCAAAAAGAGGAAAGTTAGGATCAAACATACAATGGTAAAAGGGAGAGCTGCTTTTCTGTGAAAAGGGAGAAGAAGCCCCAAGTGTTAAATGCTTCTTTATGAATAATAAAAGAGCAATGTAAAGAATACATTTGTACTTCAGATTCCCTTCTAGCATGAATAAGAACTTGACTTATTAATGAGGCTTTTTAAAAATTATTGTGACATTTTTTCTTTTGTTGCTAGTGTCAAATCGGGCTAAACTACTTTTCTGGAGCTTGCGTTGTCTGAATGAATCAGGAAAATTGGAGGAATGGCTCCCCAGGACATGGTGCCCATCACTGTCCCATCAGGGCTTACAAATCTAGAGGTCTGAGAGTCCCTGCAAGCCTTTGAATTGAAGAGAGTTTTGCTAAAAGCAAGTCCTTCTAATATCATTCAGGCTCAGCTTCTGCTTGGCATTGCCTTAATACTGTTTACATTAAACTCTATTATACTAATACCTAATTTTTATATGAACAACAACAAAAAATTGTACCTAAAAGTTGCATACCATTGATTGCAAATACTGATTTAAGTAGTAAGCATTAAATTTCATAGCAAATATTTATACTATCAGGCTCCAAAATAGAAAATCTTTTAATATTGCTGCTATACTAGTATTGAAGATAAAATAGTGATTTGTTATGATGAAAGTGATCTGTTATTGGAAGATTGCCACTTTTCTTGGCAGTGTTGCTCTTTTCATGGATTTATAACCCAGGATGTATTTTGTCTTCTACAACAAAGTTTCTTTAATAAGTAAAGTAAAAACTTACTCATTAATTGAGATAATCCTTTCAATCTGAGTTGATAATGAAGAGGTAAATATGTAAATATTGAGCTTTCATAAGGAAAAGAATGTTTAGATTTATGTACATGTAGCTGTGTTTCTGGGCATATTAGAAACGGTGGTGCTCACTACTTTATTACTGGCAGTCATCTACAGGTTTTGATGTTCTGCTGGTTCCAAGAGCTTTTGAATGTCAAAAGACATCTCCTCCTTAGTTAGCAGTAGCTAAAGAGGCAATAGGAGAGTAACTCTATTATTCCTATATACTGTAATTCATCATTTCTAGACCTCCTTTCGTAGGAGTCTAATAAAAAGAGAGTTTTTATTCCTTTTTATTAGAACAACAGAAATGATTGTTCTTTCTCCATATGAATTTAGTTTTGTTTATAGCTTCTGTTAGTTTCCTCGATTACCTTTTTTTATTCAGTTGGGCTGTTACCTATTTTGCAAGATTTTTTTAGAGCACAAGAATTAATCCATTAATTCAGTTTATCTTTACATGTTAAGTACATATATACATACATTAAGTACATTTACATATTCTTATCATCATTTGTGAAGTATTTGGGCTGCATTTCAGTGATGACCCGTAGAAAGTCAGTACAGGTGTCATTTGTAAGAGGCAGGATGGGCTTATTTCTTTTACACAGAGCAGTAAAATGACATTGTTCTGTTGTACTGTTTTTTCTTTAAATCTAGTGTCTTTGAATTACAAAGAAAGAAAGATACGTTTGTTTCTCTTTTGGTAAAGCACCAGACACAGAGCACATGGCTGTTCCTTCATCCCTTAATGTGCTCACTAATATTCAGAACCCATACGGGGGCCCACATCGGTGGGAATTATGGACAGCACTGTATATAGCTTCCACCTTCAACGCTTTATTTGTAAAGCTTTTGCTCTCTATTCTGGTTCATCTTTCTTGCCTCAGTCTTTCGCCTTCCATAGGTTTCATCTTTATTTAAATGAAAAGCAGACAAAACCTTTTTAAATATCAGAGTTTGGGGGGTATCTTGCATGTAAATTTGTTGTGAGCTAAAACAGAGGTAGATTGAATCAAATGACAGTAGCAGAGTCTATTCTTTGTGCCGAAGGGAGTACATGTGCCTTTTGATTTTAACAGGACTCTTTTCTCCTCAGCTCAGAGAAACAGATGCAAACCTGGGGAAGAGCTCCAGGATCTTGACAGGAATGTTGCGAAGGTAAGGCCAAGGTAGGGACACATCTCTCTCCTTTTTTTCTTCTCTCCCTCTATACCTTTATTTTTAGCTTGAATTCAACCTCAGCATTTTGCTGACTTGCTTGACTTTTTTTTTTCACACCAGCTGCTGTACAGAATTTGTTCAAATGAATGCTGATAAAAAAGCAGACATGGTTAGATAGAAGGTTTTATCACATCTAAAGAAAGAATTTTCTGTTGAGTGAGGGATTCCATCTCTGGAATTGCTCCATCGTTTATCATTTTTTCTTCTTTTTATTTGTTTCTGTTGTCATACTGTTCTAAAATCAGGCTTTTGATGATGATAGTGATTCTTGAGTGTTTTTCAGGGTTTCAGTGTTTTCAGTTTTTTTCCATGTTAATTTTTATGTGAGATAGTTTGTAAATGCGTTAGGGAAGTGTAAATTTACACACAGAGGAAAAAGATAAGATGATCCATTCTGTTTGAATGGGCTGGGCAGACACATCATCAAACCTTGGGCTTTTAACATATTTCTTCCATGTTTGAATGTTGTGAAAATTAAAGTTAAATTAGGTGGGAAGGAAACATTAGGAACTTCCTAAAAGTCTATCTGGGATTGCAGGGAGGGAAGTTATCCAGTAATTACTAACCACCTTGAGTGTACATCAATACCTTTCCAAACAGCCTTTTTGAATTAGTGATATCTCTGGATATGTGTGTTTTTTACTTACTAAAGCAGCACCCAAGTGTCTCTGTGATGTCTAAGTTTCTGCGCTTTTGTTCAGCTTCTTAGAGAAGAAAAGCCTCACTCTGATAAGTGGTATTGGATGCTATGAAACACATTTTTAAGGGACTTTGTAAAATCCTCAGAAGAGTTCAATATGAAATTACCTTTCTCAGGCTTTTTGCATTGCATGCGTTGCTTAATACAATTTCCTTAACAAAAAAAATAAAGAAATAAAGAAATAGAAGTTTTAGCATGGATTTGGATTTACCACTTGACTTGGAAAATATCAAAACCAGAATTTAATAAGCTCTTCTTTAGTAGAGGCTTTATCTTTCATAAGTCTCCTCAGAAAAAAATAGCTTTGTTAGTTCCTTGTATACCGAGTTGACAAAGGTTAAGATGACTGACCTTCATGCCTTCATTCCGTAGCTTTCTTACAATTCCAACTCTGAACCGTAACATATAAAATTCTCTGATTAAGAATAATATGTAAATGACACAAGCTAAATTCAAAATCTACGGAGAAAGGAAGTGGCAATTGAAAGGGATGGTTCAGTGCTTGTAGACAATCAAAATAAAATATAAAAAAGAAAGAAAGAAAAGACATGACCAAACCCAAGTCTCCCCAGGAAGGGCCCTGCGACATGAGCTGTAACGAATATTCTGCATATGTCTCCATTTTGTCAAATCTCATTAAAGGCATTTCTTGCTTTATGTCAATTGAGCTGTCCAAAAATCATTCATCATTTTAGTGTAAAAAAAAATCATGCAGTTATTTAAATAATATCATATTAATGTTAAAGTTCAGCTGTCATTTAATAGTATGGCTTAATCAGACATAGCATTTAGGAAAAATAGTTTTTTCGGGCTATACTTGGCTTTCAGGTTGGCAGATTCAAATAAGGATTTATGGGTTTCTAAACCAATGTATTCTTTCCATGTTTATGCTTGAGGTACCTCAGCCTTTTTTGCAGCACCCTGTAGTCTGTTATTTTCAATAAAATAAAGTATCTCCTCATATTGCGTTTGAATACATTTGCAAGTAATTTGGAGAAGCTGAAACAAAAACATATGCTGTAACCTTTGACTTTGTTTTGTGTTTGGGAATCACAGTTAGGAGTCCTAGTTTATAAGTGTTCCATAAACCAAATGAAAAATACAATCTTCTGAAATGTACTTGGGGTCTTGCTTTCTGACAAAAGGATTATGCAGCCAGACGCCAACATGGATTGTTTCTGTATGCCAGAAGGGCACTGGGTCCCCTTTCTCTGTGGCAAAACTGCTGAACGGGGTCTCTCAACATTGGGATTTAGATTCCGTTCAGGTAAAGAGATTCCTGGGCATAGATGCAGTTTGCTGTAAAAGTTTCCCAAAATGTTATTTAAAAACATGTAATAGGTGGACTCCTTGGTGAATTTAATTTGCCTTATGACTCTTGGGTAGAAGTGCCTAGTTTTCCCAGCTTGAGCAGCTTTCAAATGCTGTTCAGTCGTAAGAAAAATGTTCGTAAAATACAAATCAGCACAAATTAGATAAATCAAACACAATGTAAGAGAAATAATTACCGCAAGTTGGCAGTTTGTGTCCTAATTCTGCATATATCACTAAGTGCCACACAATGTTTCACTTTAATTTAGGAACAATGGTGAAGGACTGTATTTCACATTATTATTTTACAGAAAAGGTAATGTTAAGTCAAACACTGTTCAACGTTGTTGCCAAAGCCACACATGTATTTGCAGATATTCTTGAAGTCATATGCTGGACTAACAGCCTGTGCATCAAATTAATGCCTAGCTACTTCTGTTTTTGTTGCACAGGAAGGGTAAACTCTTTGTAATTGGGCCCAGTATATTGGTTAGATATTTAGATAGGTAGGATTCTTAATGAGGGCTAAATTATTCCCTTTGAGAGACTAGTCATGTATTTGTGTGTAAAAAGTATTCTTGTTCTAGTGAAGGGGAATAAAAATGTGAACAGGTTCTGTGAATTGGTCTAGTTAGTAGTAGAAAAAAGACAGATATTCCTATCCCAGTTTGTTGCTCTAGCAACTTGAAGTAGCTAGATTTATGTACTGGAATTTGTTAACTGACAGTGTTTTGTGTATATGTTTAAGGAGATTGTTTTGG